GTGATACTACATATGAAAATAAGAAAAAAAGTTCCTATGAACATATGCCCTAAGATGCTTTTTTGTTTTGTGAGTAATTACTTTCTACCCTTATGGAAACTACCCTTTCAGAACTGTTACGACTTTTTTTACTATCAACATTCGCTTTTAAATCGAAATGAATCCAAGAATACCAAATTTCGAAAAAAATTGTTGGCCACTGTTGTAGATGAAAATAAATAAAATCTATTATTTTCATCTTCTGTTTGAAGGGCTGTAACTTCTTTAGGGAGCATCTTTAGGGCATATGTTCATAGGAACTTTTTTTCTTATTTCCATAGATAGTATTACCCCTCGAACTCCGGTACACTTTTTTTTACACCCTGTATAAGATGGTATTTCATCGTGGCCGGTGGATTTCTTGGGTATAAGTTTTCTTATACCACTGATTTACATCAGTCTTAGTGATTTTTTCCAATGTTAAAAGTGCCCCATTCTTTATTTTCATAATGATAATTAGAGAGATTTGAAAAATCATCACCTTCAGTTTGATCACTTCCAACTGATGGCCACTCAAATCTTCATGTACCTTATTATAATATAATAAAAAAATTATCAGTGATAATATTTGCAGTGTCAAAAATGTTATTACCGACGATATTTCCAACATATACCACTTCGCAATCGCATGACAAATTCCTTTGCAATCATGCAAAATCCCGCGAAATCATACAAAATTCCTCGGAATCGCGCGAAATCCCTTGCATTTTTGCGACATTATGTGTAATTTTGCGAAATCCCGCGAAATCATGCGAAATCATTCGCAATGATGTGAAATCCCCCATTTTTCGCAATCGCGTCCCATTTTCACCCTATAGTGGTTCACCCATTGACTTTGGGTTAGTATTGGTAAGTTTAAGTTACTTTGGGTTAGTTTTGGTAAGTTTGGGTTACTTTGAGTTAGTATTGGTGAGTTTGAGTTACTTTGAGTTAGTATTGGTAAGTTTGTGATAATTTGGGTTAGTATTGGCAAGTTTGGGATACTTTGTGTTAGCATGAGAGGATAATTATTAGGATATAGGCAACATGGAGGACTACAATCCCTGAAAAATTCAGCCTATTTGGATTTATAGTTCCAGAAATAAAATCGCGTTAGCAATTTGTGGTAAAATCAATTTTTCAAACAAAATCTTATGTATGTAGGTATACGGAATTTGAAGTAATTTATTGAATTCTGTGGTGAAATATGAATTGATTGTGAAAATTGCATATTAGTGTTTGTATTACAAAATTTCAAGAGATTATTGTTCATTTGAAGCTTTAATGCTTTTAATTCAAGTTTATTCAAATTTTCCTGTGAAAGCTGATCAGAATTCAAAGAAATAATCATCTTGTTCTGGTAAAGAAAGCATAAAATCAGGTTTCTGTTTGAATGGATGCTGCAAATAAAAATTCAGTAACTTACCGGATGATTTTCTTTCTCGTACCGGCTCCTTAAAATGGTTAGTGTTTGGGTTCTGAATATTAGAATATCCAAAGAAGGAATTTTATTATCTTTCTCAGATTCAAACGTGAATCTAAGTTTATTGTGAAAACTATCAAACCCTTGAAGAACCATATGAATCTGGTCAGCAAGAATCACCAAAATCATGTCATCAACATAAATCTTCACAAGGGAAACTATACATAGACCTACTTTACTCCTTTAATCAATTAGCATAAGGGTTTATGATCATCGACACAGACAAAATTAGATGTCTAGTAAAGTAACACATAAACTGAAAAGTCGACAAGTTGCAAACTAGAGATGTTCTAGAAGATTATCGAGCAAAAAAATAACTTCAAATAACCAGTAGCTGGAATAACAAGCTCTAGACAACTTCAGAAAGAAATCAGAAAACAAACGATGAAGGCATCTCGAATCTCAATGGGATTCACTGTTAGTCAGAAATGGTTTACTGACACGAACCTGGGACAGTGCAGATGATTAATAAGGTGGTCAGAATGCAATTGGTCGTGCCCAAAACAAAAGCTGTTCTATTTTTATTAGAAGTTCATATTGGGATATCCGGAAATCATACAGATTTTACTATGGGCTAACTCTCACCATCAGAATGTTAAAACATGTTGCCGACGATGTGCAATATGTGTAGCAAGTCAGAGTCCTAAAACGCGTACTAAGGGACAAATGAAGCAGTACCACTCCTCGAACGAATGGCTGATCCACTTTCTAGAATATACAGCGGAAACTGTACCATAGATTGCTTCTGCAAGTGGTCTAGCGTTTTCGCTATTCCAAACCAAGAAGCGCCTACAGTTGCAAAAGTCCTCGTCAACAATGTTTTTTCTAGGTTTGGAATCACAATTAGTCCAGAAACGTTGCGTTCTGCTAGAATTCACAAAACCAGAACAACAGCAATACACCCACAATCAGATGGCATAAAGTTGAGAGGTCCAACAAGAAAATCAAGGAATATCTTTATGAAGCGGTTGACTAGCATTGAGACTATTTCTGATGGCATAGAGATCAGCTACACATAATACATAATAGATAAATCCAAAAGGTGTTATTTGAGTTTATTTTCTCGATTTGTGGAGAAGGTTAGTTGGCGCCCAAGAAATAGAAAGGACAAAGTTCGCAAGTGACTTAATGAAAACGAGATATGATCTACAGACGAACTCTTTATAACCCTTAAAGGAAGAAAGGCCCGTATATGATTATAGATAGTATTAATCGGATCTAACGTGGCCTCAAAATTAAGATGAAGGTAGTGCATCTTCACAGGTTGAAGGATACTCATAAGAATATATGGTCAGATCGGGTTGATGTAATGTGAGAGGAAGTAACACTGTCTCCCTGCGTCGGTTCGGCTAGATTGTATGTACCAATATTGTACACGTATACGAATCTGAAATGATTTACGACACAGCAGGAGTATGCAGAGGAATTCTATTCTAATTCAATAGTAAACAATAGAGATTCTAGAGAAGTCTCGAATAGGCACGTAGTATTATGTAGGTAAGTCAGTCAATCAGTTTGAATAAACTCCCATCCATACTGCATGTATTTTGATCTTCTCTTAAGCCTTATTATGTGTCTCATATGGCTCATAAAATATTCCTGATGAATGTAAGCCGACCAATATCCTCAATTATTTTATTGAAATAGTTTTTTTTTTCTCTCATTTTGAGTGACTATTATATTATTCAATCAATAATTCAGGCCTTTCTCTTTAATATTATAACACCTAATTTTTAAACATCAATTTTATTCAATTTGAAAACCCAAATAAACTGTTAATTCTGTCCTGTCTTTTACCCTTGGTCCCTATAACCTAGGGAACGCTTGCGCTCGATCCCTCATTTTGGCATCTAATAATACCAGAGATAATACTATAAAATAGCATGCCATTCATGTCTTCATTTCATTCCAATTCACGTTTTATATAAGGGTGGGTTTGCGTTATCATTGTCTGACACCGCACGTGTGGATTCGCACTTTTTTATTTTTCCAGAATAAAAATATCAAAGAAAAATAACTTGTAAGATTTCAAGGTGCAGCTTTGAAGAAGTTCAATTTTGTTTTTATTCTAGTTGTAACACCTATAATCTCATTTTACCAAGAAAAAAAGATCAAAAGTAAAATTTTAAATCCCTCCTTTCCATAAATGCAAATTTTGCACAGTAAAAGATACAATAAACTTTGAAGAACAATACATAATAAAAGGGTCAAATGTATAGTATTAAGGCCTTTCACACCTGACCTGTCAATATTAAAATCTGGGAGTTAAATTTTTATTGCCTCACTTAGCATTGTTAAATTTTGAATTGCTACCTACCTCCCTAGGTAATAATAGCTATGCGGTTATTCAAATTTCTATTTCCGAGATTTTGGTTTATTGAGAAATTTTTACTTTTAGCCATTCATCTATCTCTCTTGGGGATGTTCATAAAATAAGTCTGCAACCACCCCCAGGGTAAGATTTAGTGCCATGTGACTTTATTTTTCTTATAAGGATATTTCAATTTATCCGCTTGCTTATTTGTACCCTACAACTTTGCCTACACTTTAACTGTTACGCAGTAGTAAATTACTGGCCCTTAACTTTGCCCTAACTATCTATAACTTCACGCTTCACCAACGAGGAGTTAGTTATTACTTATTTAAGTTTAAAACGTTGTCGGCGGTCGGCTGAAATTTCATGTATTTTTAACTAATTTTTAATAGGTTTACGTTGGAACTTATACTTCATTTATTCCTTTGGGTATTTGTTCTTTATTAAAGACCACGACCAACTCCAGATCTAACACCACCTCATTTTCTCATATCTGTACCTATAAAATTTACATGAGCCACAAAAAAAAGGATTTAAGCTAATAAATTATTCCCTACAAAAGTCAAAGATAAATCAGAACTATATAACTATTGGGTCTTTCTCTATCCCCATCATTACAAGTTTAACACTCTTAAATGACCTGCTAACAGAGGCGTACACTAATCAAGTTATAGTCCTTTAATAATACTTGATATTAATCATCAAAATACCCTTGAAAACACGCACAGGAAGTCAAGCATTGTTTCAGTTACCCCATCTATTCTCGGTTACCTGCTCTCCCAAACAAAAGCCAAAAATCCATTATCCTTTATCTACGCCCATGTCCCTAGGAAACTGACCATTCTCAAGCGCCACACAGAACTAGACCCAAAAGAGCAAAAAGTACCACTTTACCGTATTAAGATAGAGACAGTTGGTACTTGAGTACTGACGAGAACCACCGTTAGGAGATACATACTTGGCGAGTGTGTGTTTTTTTTTGTCTATTAGATGGATTTTAAGTGTTTGTGTGGCGACTGACGATTTTATTCTGGCTTGGTGCGTTTCGTGTTGTGGTACTACTTGCGTGAGAACTGGTGCATTTTGATTTATTTTGTGGATTTAATAGATGTTTACAAGGTAAGAGTAAAAAGTTTGTTTTTGTTTGCTTAAACTTTAAACAATTTTTTTCAATGTGTAGGTCAAATGGATAATTACTCTTTCAATCACTTTTTCGGATTGACACAAGTAAAATCAAAAAAACTACTGAATTGGAAGCAAGGCGATGAAGATGAGAAATGGGCGGAAAAAGCCGTGGATTATTTGGTGAAAAAATTGAAGAAGAAAAAGGGGAATTTGGAGGAGTTGGAACGGGTGCTTTCGTCGGGGAAACCTGGAAGATGTATTACAATACCGAAGAGTATGGATGGAAGATTGCAGGTAAGAACTTTCAATTTGAATTCGTTATATACAAAAAAATCCATAGGCAAGTTGAATTTTTATTTTTAATGAAATTTAATAGGTAGGAAGTATTTTTACCTATTTCAATGCCATAGATATGAAAAACTCCATATGTCAGATAGTCGTTCTTTTCTGTATGCTGTTTTATGTAATTATTATGTAAATTATAGTTTTTGGCATCGGAGCTCACTTTGGTTAAACTTTGGCTATGGTGCATAGAAATGTTCAAACGTATTTAATTTAACGCTAATTTCAATAGATTTAATACGTCACATATTCGTTCTTTTTTTGTATGTTGCTTTACATAATTGTTACATTTGACTGACGACTTTTGTCTTTATAGTTCAATTTCATGCAAATTAGTTTTTGGCATGGAAGTTCGCTTTGGTGCATTAAATGTTCAAACGCATTTAACACTAATTTCAAAAGATTTATTTTGTATTATGCCAATTCGATTTGGTAGTAAACAAAATTAAGAAGCATAAATTTGATTTTAGTACTTTTGGCTGTCATCCAAACTTTTATATTAGCTTGACACAATGGCTTTCATCTTTGTGTCGATTTGTCGACGATAAAATTACTAAGTAGTGATTTTTTTAAAATTTTTCAGGTATCGTTCCGTAAAGGCTACCCTCACGTAATCTACTGCAGAGTATGGAGATGGCCGGATCTACAGAGTCACCACGAGCTAAAGCCGATCCCCCAATGCGAATTTCCCTTTATTCCATACAGCTTAAACAAAACGCAAACGGAAGTGTGCATCAACCCTTACCACTACGAAAGAGTAGAAATGCACATGCTGCCTCCAGTTTTGGTACCGAGGCACAACGATTTCGTGCCTGGCTATTCGATGCTGGAAGTGAATGGCGGTCATTCCAACAATTCACCGCCGAATTCGTTTAATATTGCGCATTCACCGCAACATTCGTATACCAACTCGCCAAGCCCTTCGAGTAGTATTAATTCGGATTTTAATAATGCTGCAGCATCTGAATGTAATTCTTCAGTACAAAATTTTCCAGATAATAGCATGAATTCGGAAAGTTCTTCAGAAATGACAAGAGGTAAGAAATTGTACACACTTACTACTGTTTAAAAATTTGAGACTTTTTTTCCCTCCACATTCTGATCTAGCATTTCATTGATTAAAGTTTTCCTATGTTCAATTAACTTGCCTATAGTGTTTGCCGATTTCTTCAAATTACCTACCTCATCATCCAAGTTGTATTTTTTCTATTAATTTTGTCAATCAATAATGTTTCTAGGGTCTTACTTTCCCATTTCTATTAAATCTTTTCTTGTTATGTGTTATGTTTATGTGACTAGCTCTAGTTTTCTTTCGCCATTATAGTGATTTTTTTACTGACCATGTCTTCCTTTCTTAGTAAAGTTTATTAGATTTATCTTTGAATTTAATTTCTTTTTAGTACTTACCTTAAGCTTTTCTTCGATTGTCCTTTCTATTTACTATTCTGTTTTATTTCTTTGAGTTTTCTTGATTTCTCTTTGCAAGCCTACCTATAATTTGTTCTCTGTATTCTGGTGGTCCTTCTTTGCTATATTGGACCAGGGCTTGTCTCGTCTTTATTAGTTTTTCTGCTTTATCACCTAATTCTTCGGTTTTCCGTTTTTACTGTTTTTTGACCTTGTTGCATCTGTTATTTTATCTGAGTTGTCTTTTTCTCGTATTCTGCTGTAGGTACCAAAGGTTCCTTTGTAGTTCTTATTGATATTTGTTATTTCTTTCATAAGTTCTAGGTCTTTTTTCGTTTTTTGTTTTTTATTAACTTTTTATTATTATTTTTTGTCGTTCTTTTTCTACAACTATTTATATGATGTCCCTTACCATCCTCTGATTACTGCACGTTGGAAATCGATTCAAGATCCACCCTCGTTTCCGGTTCTCTTTGTTTTCGAAGAAAGTATTCACAATTTTTAAGCTACGACTTTCACTGAACTGAAGCTTACCAGGATTTGGCGTCTTTCATTTCCTTGTCCTATCCCTATATGGGATCTATCTATCGACATTTTCACTTTTTTATAGGTAGTACCTAGTGTGTTGTGTTAGAATAACCTTTGATCAATCTTCGTGGAATGTATCTATATAAAGGATTTTTTAGCGAGTAACTGTGTTATCAAGAGCTATAACCGTACGGTTATAACCTTCACCAATGGTGTTCTGTGAAAAATTACTCCCACCTACTCCCCACGGAACAGTGTTTTTCCAATCTCAATTATTCTATAACCGCCTGTCATCTAGGTCCCTGCAGAATTTAATACCGTGTTTCAAATCCGTGATGTCATTGATTTCCCCTATTGACGTCATAACAACTTTCCCTATTCAACGTTGTCGCCCCAAAATTTGAACGGTTAGAGATTTTAGTTACCGTTTATAGCACGGTTACAAACTGTTAGTCGCTAAAAAATCCCTATAGTTTTCTATCGACTGTCTGATGATGACGCTGATATGTATATGGGTTTATGTCAATACGTCTTACGTCAAATTGTCGTAAAGTCAATTCTTCGTATACGTCAATTACTCGTAAAGTCAATTCGTCGTAGCGTTAATTCGTCGTGTACGTCTATTCGCCTCGTCGTATTTCAGGTTTAATGTTAAAAAGTATAAATTCACACTTTTTTGTTTAATTAGACATTACCAAACTTACCTACCGATAATACCCGGTTAGTTTGCATTATAAATCAGACATTACACACTAACCCATACTAACCGTGCTATTGTCGAAGTTTCATAATGTCTGATTGAAATTGCAAACTATTAAAACGTTAATTTGTCGTATACGTCAATTGGAAGTACCTATTTTAATTCGTCGTATATTAGGTATAATGTTAAAATATATAAATTTGCACTTTTTCCATTTAAATCAGACATTACCAAACTTACCGATAATAACGACGAATCACCCTGCATTGCCGTATACGTCAACCCGTCGTGTACGTCAATTTGACGTACTGGGGGGCTTTATTTGAAATTGATGCAACTTTGCTTACACGCAAATATGACGCGAATGACGTAATTTGCGATTGAAAAAGTTCATGTCAAATAACCGTGCACCAATTTTCAATCGCGAATGACGTCCTTTGCGTGTACGCAAAGTTGCATCAACTTCAAGTAAAGCCCCCCTGGGTGATTGTCTATATTTTGCACCCACACCTATCTCACCTGTTTGAAAAGATAGCCAAAAATGTCAAATGTGAATGTTATAGGTAATATCAGAAACTTTGCAATGAAGTTAGTTGCAAGTATACAGGGTGTGTTACAAAAGTGTGGCGAAGCAGAGTTATACTTTTTTAAAGGAAACACTCCATATATTATTGATCCATTGGATTAGCCTTTCAAATCTGATTCCAAATATACTAGGTTTTTTAGGTTTATTCCTCACAGTCCAGCCTCTGAATATCACATTTGAAGCAATAATGTGGATTTTTTACTCGAATGATTACCTTTATATTTTACTGGTGGTCTCTATACTTCACCTTTTTCAATAAAAATGCAATTATTCCACCCCTTTTTTTCTTATTTTTTCCCGGACTTTTAGGAATAAACCTTGAATACCTAGTACATTTGGAATCAGGTTTGGAAGGTTAATCCAATGGGTTAATAATATACGAGGTGTTCTATTGGAAAAAGTTTAATTTTGCGTTGCCACACTTTTGTTACACACCCTGTATACCTACTTGTGACTAACCTCATCGAAAACTTTCTGATATCACCTACAACTTTCACATTTGACGTTTCTGGGTATCTCTTCAAACAGGTGAGATAGGTGTTGGTGCAAAATATATAGCCCGGTACACGTCAATTCGTCGTATTTCAAGTATATTGTTATAATGTTAAAATGTATAAAACAAGAAGAAGAAGCTAGACGACAACAAGAGGCTAAACGACAACAACTAACCCAAACTTACCGATAATAATCCGGTTAGTTTGGGTTAGTTTGCAATTTTAATCTATCCCAAACTAACCGGGTTATTATCGGTAAGTTTGATAACTTCTAATTAAAATTGCAAACTATCAACACGTTGGCTACCACATGAGTCACCAGTGATGCATAAGATTCAGTTGCTTTCATACCGACAGGGATGTTTGACCCAATTTACCTCCAATACGAGCTAGTCGATGTTACTTTACAACAAATTGACGTATGTGGCGAATTGACTGACAGATTGATTTACGACGAATTGACAGTGACCCTATGTATACATACTTGTATAGCTTCAATGTATTTCTGGGATATCTGTAATCTTTAGTGGTGCGTATTCCCTCAAATCCCTCATGTAGGTTTTTTTCTCTCATGACTTATCTACTATACAAGGAAACTCACAAATGCAATGCTGTTTTCTGTTATGCTGCTTTGGTTGGCTTGTGTCCAGCCTGCCGGAATCTAGTCCTAACTTTGTTGATCATTTTCTATCATGGAAGGAATATTATCTTAAATCTTCTTCCACGCTGGATTATGTTTATACATTTTAACATTATACCTGAAATATGAAGAATTACTTATACGAAAAAATTAACAATACGGCGAATAGAAGTATACGACGAATTAACGCTACAAGGAATTGACATATACGACGAATTGACTAAGGCCGTAAGGACTTAATCCAGATCAGTTGCTAAAACCAGATTAGGAATTCTTTTTTATATGCAAATTTCCGAACTAAGCGAGATTAACCTTCAAAGTCGAAACGGTGCATACTTGTAGATGACGAATTGACGTAAGTCGAATGGACTTCCGACAAATTGACATAGACCCGTTGTTTTTCCTAAACTAACCCAAACTATGTATTATATGTTTTGATTATGGTTTCCCTATTCTTATTCATGCTTCAATAAACTCACTTTTTATTTTTTTTTCCAGTTCCATACCAAGAGCAAGATAATTGGGCTTCAATAGCTTACTACGAACTCAATCAAAGAGTCGGAGAAGTCTTCCATTGTGGCAACATGTCCGTCATAGTGGACGGTTTCACAAACCCCACCACAAACTCGGAAAGATTTTGCTTAGGCTCCTTGAGTAACATAAACAGAAACAGCGTCATAGAGAATACCAGAAGACACATTGGAAAAGGTGTCCATTTATATTACGCCAACGGTGAAGTTTACGCCGAATGCCTCTCGGACCATTCGGTTTTCGTGCAGTCGCGCAACTGCAACTACAGTCATGGATTCCATTACGCTACAGTTTGCAAAATTCCTCCAGGAAGTTCTCTGAAAATATTTGATAACGCCCAATTCGCCAGGCTTTTATATGAGTCAGTCCACCATGGATTTCAAGCAGTTTATGAGCTAACAAAAATGTGCACCATTCGTATGAGTTTTGTTAAGGGTTGGGGTAGCGAGTACCAAAGGAATGACGTCACTAGCACGCCATGTTGGGTGGAGATTCATCTTAATGGACCTTTACAGTGGTTGGATAGGGTGTTGGTGCAGATGGGCGCTCCTCATATGGGCATAACTTCTGTTTCGTAATAATAATTTGTTGTCAAGTAATGATTTTTTAAGTTATGCCAAAGACTTGCGTGTGTATTGTATTTTGTATAAAGTGTTTGTTTTTCAGCTTTTGTGATGTGCATCAGCTTCTCGTAACTTGGTTTTATTGATAGGCAGTGTAGGAAATAGGATGCAATATGAATTGATTGATGGATTGAATGATTGATTTTCTGAAAAAAAAAAAAAAAATGTACCTAGGTATAGGAATTTTTAAGGCATTATTTTTTGTGTCTGTAAATTTTCATGTAAATAAATGAGATTCTTGAAATTTCTCTTTAAATTTTAATTATCTAATTATGATGATGCCACAAAATTCTCATTTATCCACATTATACCTAGGCATTGCAAAAAACATGTTAAGTGTCTAGTTTTAAAAAGGAGTAAAAATGAACGAATGCTTATTTGACTGAAAAAAATTGGCCCTTGATTAAGAACTTATTGTAAAAATAGTTCTTATGTATCTTATTCGATTGCATGTAAATAATTTATTTAATAAAAATATTACGACATAATATTAGATTTCTATTCTAATACACTGATCAAAATGGGTACCTATCATTTGTTTAACAAATCTTATCAAATTTACCATATCGGCATATTTTTGTCGGCTTAATCGGTTTAAATATTTTATAAATAAAATGTTAAATTAGCAACAAAATTCTGATATATATTATCTTGTCCCCTAAACTATTTTGATCTGTGTATAATATGAGCTACATGTAATGCCTTCGCCAACAAGTCCTGATGACAACCCTCACAGTAAGTAGGTACAGTTTTTAAAATTTTCCTCTTCAACTAGTATGATTGGCTGTTCTTATTGTTCTCCTGTAATATCGGAAAGTATTTACCCTACTGGATAAGTGCATATTATGTTGTACCTATGTCCTAAGTTGAAAGATATCCCAGACAGCACAAAAAGTTTTAAAGACGTCTATTTCATTATGTCTGAACGTCTGAAGACCAGTAAAAGACGTCTACAAGATGTTGTTTTTATTTATACATTTATTTAATTTTTTTAGGATGCAAAATGAAAACGTCCATAAGATGTCGTAAATTCACATCTTAAAAGCAGCTAAGTATCTGTTTGTACAGCCAGGCCTAAAAGTGAATTATTATGTATTTGTATTGAAAAAAGATTCAAAGACGTCTCTTTAAAAAATCTCGTTGAAGACTTTTTTAGAATGTCATGTCCTAAAGACGTCTTTACGCAGGCGTTGGGTTTTGTAACATACGACGTCTCCAAAATGTCTTTAAGACGACATAAAGACGTCCTAAAAAGTCTTGAATGTTTTCTGTGGACATCTTAGGGACATTTTAAAGATGTTTACAGACATTTTATTATTTATATCCAAAATAAAAAGGATGCTAGTTGTAACAAAGGCTTTTATATTGCTTCCCAGTCAATCAATCACCTTCTACGATGACAGGCTAACAATCATGACACTAGTAACTAACTACAAATCTTAATGTAGATTTGTATGTATGGGTTTACCCAAATATCAATTAAGCGTTACCTTATCAACCCTTACTTACTGATAGTACCTATAACAAAGAAATTTTCTACAAAATTCGTGGCTCATTCAATTCAAAAGTTACTGGAAACCATTTAGACTGGCGAATGCTACAGAACACTTCAGAACTTCAATAAACTTTTTGGAAAGTTCAAAACACTTAAAATTCATTTCAAAATTTCCGAAAGTATTCTGTAGCGCTTCAGAACATTTTTGGAAACTTCAGAAACATTTTCGAATGCCCCAAAACATTATTCAAAAACCGATTTAGAATATTTTTAAAAGCATTTCAGAACAATTCAGAACTTTGAAACCCATGTTAGGACAATCAAAAACATTCTATAGAATCTCCAGAAATATAGGGTGTCCCAGCCGAGAGTGACCCATTTCAAATACTTAGAACTTGAACCAGGTGTGCTAAACTTGCGATTTGTGCCATACAGGGCGAGTAAAAAAAAAATCCGTTTTTCAACATCGAAACTCTCCACTATTTCTAATGGAACACCCTGTCACCCTATCACAACGTCAAAAAAAAGATTCCTGTTCAAGGTATCTATGAACCAATAGACATCGTCCCTAAAACTTAAGTTTTAGCCGTAAAAATCAAAATCGAAATCTTGGTATTTTTGCAAACGCATATTTTCAAAGCTTGGAACTTATGTTTGCCTAATAAAAAAATAATAACAACTGCATGAAACTATACAAAATGCTGTAGGTACCTGTATGTATATGTTAGCCATTCTGTTCCAGGCATTTATGGATCAGTAAATGGTTGGATGAATTGTGTAACATTTCCTGGAGAATCGCTTCAATGACATTACAAATGTTCCGCTCAAGATCTTCCAGGCTATTTGAGCAAAGTATTACCGCATCTTTCCTTGACATAACTCCAGAGAAAAAAGTCTAGAACTCTCAAATCAAGAGAGTAAGGTGTCCATTATATAGGATCAGCTCTCCTTATCTGTCTTTCCCCAAATGCCATATCTGGTGATTCCTTTGCTATGAAAGAATAATGAGGTGGGGCCACCATCCAGCTGAAAATAGATATCATCCAAGATAACCTCCTGTCTTAACTGTGGAAAAAAGAACATATCAGTGTATACAGTTTATGTTATGTTGGTTCATGAATGAAAATGGACTGTATTTTTTCTCAATAGAGATTGCACACCAAACTGTTACTGTTGGGGTATCTCTATTTAATGAGTTCCAGAGAAAATACTTTGGAACTCGTTAAATTTGATATCAAGTTCTTACAGCATGAAGTTGCATGCGTTTGCAAAAATACCAAGATTTCGATTTTGATTTTTTTAGGCTAAAACTTAAATTTTTAGGAAATATCTATTGGTTCATGGATACCTTAAACATGAATCTTTTTTTTGACGTGATACACAGGGTGTTCCATTAGAAATAGTGGAGAATGTCGATATTGAAAAACGGATTTTTTTTTACTCGCCTTGTATAGGTTTCAAAAAATTTTGCAACCTACCAAAAAAAACCTGAGGTCATTGCCTTAGACCAAGAGAAATCAAATGGCCCAAACCGCAGGTAGCTAGCTCACCTGGTTTAAAAGTTATAGGCATTTAAAATGGGTCACTCTCGGCTAGGACACCCTGTCTTTTGGAAAGAGCCAGAATCTTAGGATTCAGGCTGGAAGTTACGAAACGCCTTTTAGAAGGCGTTCAAGAGCGAATTTAAATTGCTGTAGAATCATAATTCTCAGGAGCATTTTGGAACAATTTAGAAGCTTCAGAGTTATTTCAGAAGAATTAGGATTCAATTTAGAAGTGGAAACCTTTAGGAACTCTTTTTGAACCAATTTAGAACACTTTGGAGCTCTAAATACTTAAAAATCTGTCAGACAAATTAAGCAATTAGGTTCTGAAAAGCTTTTAAAATGCTCCAGAACTCTTCAAGCCAAGTTAGAACACTTTAGAACTTCAATGGGCCATTTGGGACGTTTCAAAACACTTTCCAGCAGCATTTTGAAAAGCTTCAGACAGTGGCGACGCGTGACTAGCAGTCTGGTGGGGAGGATGGGTAAATGGTATGGGGGTGCCCTCCGAAAAAGCGCCTCAGGCGAATTTTTTTTGCAAATTTCAAGGTCATTCACTTTTCCAGAACAATTATTTCCTTTGTGAGAAAAATAAAACAAAACAAAAATGTATTTTCTTCAATATATTATATATTTTCTTTTGAGTATCGTGATTTTTCTCTTGATAATTCGATCCTGGGGGGGTAATTACCCCCATTACCCCCCCCCCCCCCCCCCCCGACGCGACGCCCCTGGCTTCAGAACAATTTAAAAACCTCAGAATTATTTCAGAGTGCGCCTGCAATAGACAATAATTGACAGTTATGGGAAGTGAGGAAATGCTATTCTCTTAATTCAAATTCTTTAATTTTTGTAATTTATCTTATTCCATGCAAGCTCTTGATTTTTCAATCGCACTTCTTTTTTCCCTCATGAAACCTTCTCGTGGATTCAAGGATTCAAAGGGAACATGATATATTGAGTGGATAAAAACATGCCACTCCGGGCCCTATTCCACTAAAGTAGAAATTTGTAAATTGTCTACGGGCAAATCAAAATACAGCGATAGGAAGAGATATACTGGCGCACAACACACAACAGATTCTTCATGCCATCGAAGATAATTTAAACATGAAAGAAATGAAGAACAACCTGGGAGAAATAGTTACAGACCAAACAGATATAGTTACTGTGATACAGGACCTCTACCAAACCCTGTACAGTCAGTCCGTCCCGCAGCCAAACCAAACAGAACAAAAACCGACCATCTTGAACGTGGGCTCAGAAGAAATTCCCGAAAAAGATGGCCCTGAGCTCAGGGCAGCGCTAAACTCGATTAAAAACCGTAAAACATCTGGAGAGGACCGCGTAACAGCGAAATGCTGAAAGGTGGATCGGAAACACTGGAAAAACAATGCTTATATTGCTGAACAAATGTCTCGAAGAAGGCAAGATTCCCAAGATGTGGCAAAATGCCGAGGTAATACTTCTATTTAAGAAAGGTGACCCTATAAATGTCGAAAATTACCGTCCAATCAGCTTACTTACTACATTGTACAAACTGCTGACGAAGATACTAACAATTCGCCTGGACAGAAAGTTTTGACCTTTACCAACCTATAGAGCAGGCCGGTTTTAGAAAAGGGTACAGCACAGACGACCATATCCAAGCAGTTCGCACACTAATAGAGAAATAAACGGAATATAACGTGCCTCTGCATATGGCATTCGTTGATTATCAAAAGGCCTTCGACTCTATTGAGATATGGGCAGTGTTATGAATGCCATGAACAGGGCAAGAATGCTCAGACTTAATTGAACATATTTATAAAAATGCAACGTTCCAAGTTAATATCAAGGTAGATCTACGAACTGAAAAAATTAACATCCACAGAGGAGTGCGGCAGGGCGACACGATTTCCCCAAAACTCTTCACCCTGGCACTGGAGGACATATTCAAAAACCTGAGGTGGAAACAAAAAGGTGTGTGTATAGACGGAAATTACCTGAATCATTCACGTTTCGCAGACGACATTGTATTTATGAGCCAAGACATAAACGAACTGGAGGAAATGATAAGCGCAAGCTTCAGAGAATGTTGGCCTGCAGATGAACTTCCAGAAGACTAAAATCCTCTTTCATGAAAATGTCCAAATAACATTAGATAACCACCACTTGGAAACCGTGGAGCAGTACATCTATCTGGGACATAATATCAAATTGGGCAAGGACAACCAAACAGCGGAAGTCACAAAGCGAATCGGCTTAACCAGAAACTAAACCATATTCTCAGACCGTAAAGTCCCAACCTGCCTCAAGAGAAAAGTGTATGATGCGTGCATTCTCCCCTTTGCAACTTACGGCCTAGAGACCACTACTCTCACGGTCAACAGCATAAGCCGTTTAAGAGTCTGCCAGAGCAATGGAGCGAGCGATGCTAGGGATCAGCCTGAGGGATAAAATACGCAAAACGGAAATTCGCAAACGCACTAATGTATCGGGTGTCATAGAACGGATTGCAAGATCGAGGTGGCGATGGGCAGGTCATGTTGCCCGAGATGAGCTGAAATGGACCAAGAAAATAATGCAGTGGAGACCCAGAGAGACAAATAGAAGTGTTGGTAGACCCCAGGCGAGATGGCGGAATGACCTACAGCTGCTAGCCGGGAAGAACTGGATGCACACCGCCCAAAACAGATCGACCTGGAAAAAGATGGAGGAGGCCTATGTTCAGCAGTGGACGTCTAAAGGCTGAAAAAGAAGAAGAAGAAGAAATCAAAATATTTGGGTACATATACCTAGCCTTTAACATCCTGCGGTTCATGGCTCATGTCCCTCAGCATAAAAAACATCCAGAAACATTTTTTCAAATAAATTATTTTTATTGTCAAATTAGTAAAAAAAAATCAAATCAAAAAATAGATTAGACAATAATTGAAAATAATAAAATATTTATAAAAAAAAATAAAATACGTATCACAATTAGGAATTACATTTAGATAATACTAACTAAAGGGAGATTCTAAAACGGTTTAGTAGATATACAACAATGAAGAAAAACAAAATTTAATAAAAATTAAATAAGAACAAAGTTTTTGATAAAAATGCTTCAAATGAGTCTATCAAGTAGGTATTGAGTTTACAAAATGAAATTAAATTATTCTGAAAATTTTATTTAGGCAGTTTTAGCAGTAGTGGTGGTAGTCGCATCTTCAGTAGAACCTTCGGGAATGGGGGCTACAGTTGGAATTTCGGGATATTCAAGTTTGGCTCCTTCTTCGCATTTGAAAGTTGGACAACAAGCGGGGAATGGAGCGGTTTTGTTGGTTTTATCTACAAATAAATATCAATATTAACACACATGATAGAAGAACAAATTAACAAATGTTTATGATGCTAGGTAATTTTGACATTAAAGTTGTTGGGTCAGACAAGATATGGAAATATATTAATGGAAGGATAATGAATTTATAGACTATAGTATAAACGATATAGAAAAGAATCATCTCGGAAACATAAGAATTAGATGCAAAATAAAATAGCCCAGATATTTCAAACGGTGACCCGATTTTCAACCTCAATAATGGTACTTAGGTCAAAGTTACTTAGGTGTATGATTGGTTTGGAACCATCAACATAAAATTATTGGATTTTGTTATTAGGTATACCTTCGTCAAGTTTGCATTTGTCGTTAGCCAAAGGCAAAGGTCCACAGTCTTCGACCAATTCCAAAAGACGTGGCGGCTGGTCTTCGGAAACGACACAAGTGGAACGGCCACAGAACGGGAACAGTTCCCAAGTTTTACCTGGTTCTACTGTGGCACATTTGGTTGAAGCGAAGCACATCCCTGGGAAATCTAAAATAAAAAAAAAAAAAAAGAATTATTTTCATGTGAGAGTAATTAGGATATTATAATGGATAAAATTAACAATACTAGTCTATTGAATAAAGGAAGTGTAGTAAAAATTGGGGCTTTGTGAAAAACTTCTCGAGCGGAAAATGCGGATGTCGACAAATAAATAGAAGGAAATGCGCCAATTATGATTCATAGTTTGTTTCGAAAAGATGCAAGGTAATAAAAAAAGGAAATTGATCATGTGAAAGCACTGTATAGAGTGAGTACCTTCTTATAGTTATTCACCTATTGAACAAATTTTTCTCAATGTCCATTTATATAATAATTGCCTACGAGTACATTGAATCAAACACAATAAGTACATGAGTTGGAGGAGACCCACAAAAAAAGTTACTTAGACTTTGTTACAAATTAATAAAAGCGGTACCGAAGGTCAGCAACCAGCCTAAGACAAAGGCGTGGTAGGTAGGTACGTGCTTACATTTTGCAAGCGTCGAGCTGCATAAATACGAGACTTTAAGCCAATTTTCGGGCAAATGGATGAAATGTCAAGGAGAACAAATAACCTTTAATAACTTTTAAAAAAATATACCCGAATTTCTCTTTTTGTTGCTTTATGATACTTGTGAACAATGTTTTGAACTTAAAATCAAATGTCATCCGCAATTCGAATGCCAACTTTCATTTTTGCATTTCAAGCCGAATTATTTCTGTTGCAGATCTGCTACTTATAACGATTTAATTAGTTAATTCAATTAATGCGACTCTAATGAAGTAATATTATTGCAGCAATTATTATTACCATATTAACTCTTATACTATTGTGAAACATTAGTAGAAAAAAGCCGCTTACTTTCTAATATGCACATCATCAATGGTTTTGTATATTATGTTTGGTTTTTATGTATATCTGGGCGCTTTCTAGATAAATGTTACTTTCCATCTACCCATCTATGGTTTATGTAATGCTAATGGTACCTACTCTGTGGGCTGGCAAAAATAAAATATTCTATGTTGTATAAAATTATGGGTCTTATAGATTTTATTTTATACAACGGGGTGTTACAAATTTCAAAACTTCGTTATAGATTGAAGAAGTAGGTAGGCAATGTCTCAAAGTGGAGCTTTAATTCAATTCCAAAAGAAAACACACAAACTCTTCCTCCACAAAAAGCTTTAATCCCGTTAAAGTTTCGAGGATAGAAATCCTTATCATCAGGTGCAAGTTTGCTTATATAAGTTTTACAGGTCGCTATAGACTTCGCATTCGGCAGAGGAAAAAAACAGGAAGTTTAACGGGAATAAAGTATTTTGTGGAGGAAGACGTAGATACTTTGTGCTTCTTTTGAAATTATACTTCGTTATAGGCTTTCACAAGTTGGGTTTTAAGCTTTATCAAGTCTATATTCCCAAATCCCAACATCAGTATCTTGTTTTCTTTTGAACGACCAAATGCTATCTATTTTATATTCATTGCCACCCTGTATGGGCCATAAAAACAAAGATAAATTCTAATTCGAACCACCTTGTAAAGTTAACAACAGAAAAAAACTTTCCGTCAATGTCGATTCAACATTTTCTACTCGCTTTGGTCTTGAGTCTGGAACGGATTGTATTAGCTAGCGATAACTGAAACCTTGAATAAATAATGAGTTTTCTAAGAAATTTAAAGCTTAAAAACCATCTGAACATCTCACTTCAATTCAGGAATTATCCCCATTGTATGCATCGAATGTCTTAACAAGAATGACTGTATTACTGGTTTTGGAATGGGAAATAAGTCCAGAGGGTTATGGTTTTTCTAGAACACCCAATCGTGATTTATTTTGAAATTAGACAAGGTACGGGAATTTTGATTTCGTCACCGGACTTTATATTTAAAATCAAGTTTCGAGAAAGACACAGAGTATCCTATGAAGTACAGACGAAAGCAAACAGTGGAAATGGAGCAAGTAAATCAAATCAAATGTTGTTGGAAAAGACAAGAAACAAGAACAAAGTTGAAGAGAAAAGGAAAGACAAGAATAGGAAGACCAGAGACAGAAATAAAAAAAAAATGAGGAAGCTCGAGGGTGGAAAAAAATACGAGAAGAACAGGATCGGCTCCAGAAAATTTCTTAATTCATCGATAATGAATTCAAACCGCAATCTCTGAGGTACAAACCCGACTACAAGATATCCAAACTGAATATCAAACGAGGGGTAGTTTTTATACTCCAGATTGCTGTTTTAGGGGAAATCATGGGTGATTACCAGTATTATTGCCCGAGAGTTCTTCTGTTAACATAATCTCAAAAATTTAAAGATTTTCGAAAACTGCGCATTTGCTTGAAATTCACTGATTTCCTAAAGATTTCACCCACCCTGAGATTTCCCCTGATCTCCTCATGATTTCCTTATGATTGTCTTAGGTTTCCTCCTAATTTCCCCTAATTTGTAATCAGATTTCCCTTGCTGAGAAGTGAACCGCAGGTCAGTTTTTGTACACCAGATTGCGGTGTTAGAAGAAATCATAGATGATTTCCCCTCATTTCTTGATTACCAGTAGGATTGCCCAAGAGTTCCCCTGTTAACATAACCTCAAAGTATAAAGATTTTTGAAAACTGCGCATGCATTTGATCTAGAAATTGTCCGATTTCCTTAAGATTTCCTCCGAGATCCTTAAGATTTCCCGCGAGATCCTTAAGATTTCCCTTAATTTCCTTAGATTTCCTCTTGATTTTCCCTAATTTGTACACCCAGATTTCTATTGCGGTTTACCCCTCGATATCTAAAGTTTTCTCAATACAAAAAAAAGGACCAATAGCAGAAATTGAAGAAACAGTGAGGAAACTTTTGTAAGAAATACGAAAGTCTGTTACCATAAGCAATGAAGCAAATTAGAAAATTATTGGGTAACATTGTGAAAGATGGAAGAAGACAGTGTTGCCAGGTGTGTTTTGTCAGTAGATTACCAGTCTAAATATCAGTAGACAGATGGCTTGTTAAAGGGGTAAACCATTAGGGTATAGGTACTCAATTAATTATTTTAACTACTTACGTTTTTTCAAATCATTAAATCATTAGACTGTGTATTAGACTATGAAAACTTGCATTAGAAAATCAAACACCAATACTACTTATGAGAAATAGTTTATTAAGATTAAGACACATGAGATATTCCTATTAAATATGCACTACCTATGGGATGCCCTATATATTTGGTTTTATATTCTTGAAGAGTACAATTTTCCGATTCCAAAACTATATGGTTTGTTTATTTTTGGTTGAGCCGGCTCCAACACATTTGGTTTTAAAAAATTTAAAAATACTATCAGAGAAACCAAGTAACTACCTAAAAAATTTCCCCTGCAGCTTTCACCTGTACAGGTAGAATGGTTCACCAAATCACAAAATTAGAAGAATGAAATATAGGGCATCCCATTTGAAAAAAGCTTGAAGCATGCAAAATTTCACATTTCCGACATTCAAATTTTTTTTAATTTTAAATGGCTGAGTCCACCCATAAGTTCCGCAACAATCAACTCGTTTGTACTTGAATAACTTGTCACAATATATTATTAGTTTGATAAAGTAACATTACTAATTCCTGTTGAAAAGCGAATTGACAAAAAGTGGATAATCTTACAAATTCTGACTTTATATAATAAGTTATTGTTCAAGTACAAATAAGTGGATTGTTGCGGAACTTATTGGTGGACCTCTGCGGGACGAGCGCAGCGAGTTCCGCAGCCATCTACTCCCCAATATACTGTTGAACTGTTCAAGTAAGACATTGACCTGAAACATGTAGTTTTTGAACTAATAATAAAAACTCATATTTGAGTGAGTCAGGTTAATATAGTAATTAAATAACATATTGATGAATAGATGGCTGCGGAACTCGCTGCGCTCGTCCCGCAGAGGTCCACACATAAGTTCCGAAACAATTCACTCGTTTGTACTTGAATAACTTGTCAAAATATATTACTAGTTTGGTAAAGTAACATTACTAATTCGTGTTGAAAGGTGAATTGACACAAAGGAAATAATCATAATCTTACAAATTTTGACTTTATATAATAAGTTATTGTTCAAGTATAAATAAGTGGATTATTGTCTAACTTATGGGTGGACCTCTGCGGTATAAACGAGTGGATTGTTGCGGAACTTATGGGTGGACCCAGCCATCTATTCACCAATATGTTGTTCAAGTACGATACTAACCTGACTCACTCAAATGTGAGTTATTCTCATTGGTTTAAAAAATACACGTTTCAGGTGAGTGTCTTATTTGAACAGGTCAACAGTATCGGGTCTTCAAAAAAAAAAACCAATCAAAGATTGCTTTGGTTACGATAACGTACGTCGCATTATTGTTTTTTTATTGGTCAGGATTTTTGACATGACATTTTGACATTAAATTTCATTGACCGACATTGTCAAAATTAAAGAAAAATATTGCTAAGACGTACGTTTAGAAAACCATAGCAATCTTTGATTGGTTTTTTTTTTGAAGACCCGATATATTGGTGAGTAGATGGCTGCGGAACTCGCCAGAGGTCCACCCATAAGTTCCGCAACAATTCACTCATTTGTACTTGAATAACTTGTTACAATATATATATATACAGGGTGTATATTTTAAGTGATACCACTATTGCTAGATTGTGGTAAGAGCTACAAGGTCGGTTAAATTAGAAAAAAGTTGCCTTTTTTGATGCCCATTCTAGATTTGTTTACAGTATTGCCAAATTCCTTTTACTTCACGAAATACAGGGTGATTTCTAAAAAGAGCCTAAAATTATTTCATCAATTATTTCGAAAACTATTGATATTCGAGACACAATTTAAATTTGAAAGTTTTATAATTTTTTTCACTCTACAACATGGCATATTCAAATTTTAAATCCGACGTTTCGTGATCGAGCTACCATCATCAACTTAATTTTTTTAAATACGGACCTAAATTTTTTTTGCAATTTTTAGAAAGGGAACAAAGGGCGCTTTCTTAAAATGACATAAAAAATCCAGGTCCGTATTTAAAAAAATTTAGTTGATGATGCTAGCTCGATCACGAAACGTCGGAATTGAAATTTGAAGATGCCATGTTGTAGAGCAAAAAAAATTATAAGCCTTTCAAATTTAAATTGTATCTCAAAAATCAATAGTTTTCGAAATAATTGATGAAATATTTTTGGGCATTTTTTAGAAATTACCCTGTATTTCATAAACTAAAAAGAATTTGGCAGCACTGTAAACGAGTCTTGAATAGGCGACAAAAAGGCAGCTTTTTTCTAATTTAACCTCCCTTGTAGCTCTTACCGTTTCGGTTATAGCAATAGTGGTATCACTTAAAATATACACCCTGATATATAAGTACAGAGTGTTTTTTTATATATTGACACCCCACCTACCTTTACCTTTACAAGTAAATGAAAGGTGTAAATACAAAAGTTGTACAGTATTGGCTAAATTTTTAGAATCCATGGTCAGAAATAAAAATTAAATGTCAGAAATGTGAAATGTTGCATGTTTTCAGCTTTTTTCAAACGGGAGTACTTATGCAGTAGTCTAGTTTTATAAAAGCAGGTAAAACAGGCTACAGTTAGTTGTACAGCATAACGCTATGTGACCAAATAACTAACCAACAACAATGCATGTCTTTACACAACTGGTAAGACAAAAGGCAAATAAACAAGACAACAGGACACAACACAAACACCCACGAATGCCGGAGATTTCCTAGTTAGGTTGAGTGCAGCACTGCAGTGCCTGCACTGTGAGCGTTCGATTGTTTCAATACAAATCACACCGGACTGATCGGAGTAATAGGGCGGACGTCGTTCAGAGGACACTCCTAGAAGTCCTAGCCCAAAAGTCGCGTATGAAATTATTGCTGTGATATTCTCATACAAGATTTTAATTTAAAAAATATCATAAAAAGCAGGTAAATAATGACAACGGCTTTTACCAGTGGCCGAATCAGTAGATCTACTGATAAATCAGTAGACCTGGCAATACCGGAAGAAGAGGACATTAAACATGACGAAAGCTACTGCTGAAATTTTGATTTGCTTTCCAGGTTTCGGTGTACAAGTTGCAACAGTACCTAGGGTTTTGAAATCAAAAATCGTTCTGGTAAACTTTATAACAATGTAGATGCTTTATTCATTATTCAAGCCACCATGCCCAGTTCAATGTTCAATGGAAGAGAACTGTCTCAGAACTGATCATCGTGGAGAATGAGTTCAAGAATATACTTCCAAAAAGCTTAAATTAGGAATCAATTAGAATAAGAATGTGACATTAAACCATTTTTTAACCCAAAGAAAACCGTCTATAGATTGCGAACAAACTGGAAAAAGAAATGTTCATTCAGCGAAGAAATAAAAACTGGGAACAAGAGGATTAGGGATACTGATGACTAATTTCTTATACAATTTATTGAAACATGGGTACATCCACCCACATCTGGTTAGAGATAATAATATACATTTCAAAGTGACATCAAAAATGTCGCAATTTCTTTTTTACACGCAATCAATTGTATTAATTTCACGTAAGTACGACTATAATTTTCACTTGTGCAATATCGAAGCAATACGAAGAGCTCACTTACAATAGATAATTATTTATAATAATATATTGTTCGTAACCGGTGAACGGATTGAAGACTGACGGATACCTACTTAGACTATAATTATTATTGCTCTGATGCAATTTTTAATTGAAATAAGTAGTAGGTAATGATATACGGCAAACATGGTCTATCCAGATTTAAAATTAAAAGCAACTATCCCAATTTATTGTTGACCTTATTATAAAAGTGAATCAAGAGGAAGTACGCTCTGTAATTTTCTAAAAAAGGTCTAATTTAGCTGTTTGAGGGACGACAAAAAAGTGTTTAATGGGACACGGTTTAACGCCTTTGTTTCATTACATTTGATCCGAAAATCCTACACATTTGTGTCAATGACTATACTTAAAAACATTAGACGATAGTTGAATAACGTCGTCTATTGTATCTCTGATGGAAGCTTATTTTTATGGAGAATAAAAGTTAGAGAGAAAAATATAATTTTGGACAGTTTTTGATAATATAACATTATCTTTGATAATTGATTACAGCTCCATCAAAACTGATATTTGTTGTGTAGCTTTGAATCAACTTTTGAACCTATTCAAAATCGATATTTTGTAAGTTGTTTTCGAAATCATATTCTGAGTATCAAGTGGGGATATCTAAATAAACTACATATTTTCATAGCCTCTATTATTCCATTAGAGTTACAATGTGAGAGAAAACTTTGATTCATCATCTTTTGCAATAGTTTCCAAGATATTGGCTTTTAAACATTTTTGATAAATACTTACCTGGTACTTCAGAAAATAGTAATGGTCTGATTCACATAATTTTATGAAATTAAGACAAATTCGCATATATTAACTAAACGTTTTTATAATGAAGAAAACTTCCTAAATAAACCTCTATAAATGTAAGGAAAATCAATTTTTGATGACTTTTTCTAATAATCTAAATCACAAATGACACCAAAAAACTTTTCGCTTAATCAAACATATTGATTATTGGAAAAGTGCAACATGTTTAAGTGGCTGACAGCAGAACCATTGCTAGAATCTACTAAAATATATCCATCTGCAAGTTTTAATTTCTAATACTGAAACATTTTTCATAAAGGCAATACCAGGAAATTTGAGAAAGCATGAAGCAGTAAAATGAAATCCAAATATTTCTTCGGATTGCCTCATTCATTCTTGCATAACTACCAATTTCCTCAGTGGGGTAATAATCAACCCTTAGATAATTGAAACTTAATTTAGGCAAAAGTTACCTCTTAAAACATCAGCAGGAATCAACCTCTTAAACGTCTTGGGTCTTTCGACTTCAACAGTTTTGGTTTCCTCTTTCTTTTCATCAGCACCGTACACGGCTACAGCCAAAATCGCGAAAACAACAAAAACTTTCATTTTTAATTTTGTATTTTTTTTTTTTAAGAGTTAAGACACACAAGCCCGGTTAAGTTTAGGTCGTACCAACTGAATGGTACCGGCGTCGTGAGTTCGGTTTTATAGGCTGCGTTGGTCCTGATGGTGGAAGGAGAGGCGATTGGTGAGAGCAAGACGAGGGAAAATTTATTTTAGCGTTTTTGGGTTGAAATAATAATAATAATTATTATTTTCGCTGAAATCTTTTTTTTTAGTGGAAAATCTCAAGGGCGACACAAAGGAACCTTGGAAATAGTGTTTGTTTTTAGGTAATTCTGGAAAACCATTGTATTGCGTCTGGGTCAGTTAGGTAATTTAAAATTGAATAATTTTTATGTAAGTAATGTTTATAATTTGTGATTCTAAGAATATTGTCTATGATGGAAAATTACTTGTAGCTGGTAAGTTTTTGATAACGATCTCAAATTGTTAAAAAACTTGTTCCAACGAGTGGCAATTCGTTAGAAGGTTAATCAATGCATCTTTTTTTTCCAGTTCTTCGGCAATCCATTGTCAGCTTTAAAATTCAATCTCTCTGCTAGAATCGATTTGCTACTGGTCTACTTTTAACTAACTATACATTTTTATTGAAAACTTGTGAAGAGAATATTTTGTCTTTGGTTAAAACTATTTCCATTATGTGCTTTGAATGAACAAGCATTCACGACAATTTTACAGAGAATTCTTGGATTAATGGTTTTGTATATGAAGCGCGTAGGTAGTTTAGAAGAATGCAGTTTTGGTGGTTATATCCAAAATGCATAACGGTCACATTACTTTCGCGTATTTCAACGTCCGATCTCTCTGTGCTAAATTTAATGATTTTTCTGGATTTTTGAGTGATAGCTCATATGACGTCATAGGCCTTTCAGAAACTTGGCTTTCTGACAATATTATCAGCAGTGGTCTAACCATTAATGATTTCAATTTGGTTAGAAGGGATCGTAATGGAAGAGGGAGCGGCGTGGGCTTTTATAAGAAATAACTCGAAATTTTCTGTCTTATGTGTCCAGAATGCCTGTCTGCGATATGCTTACGGTGTAAGAAAATTTGACCATATATCTCCATTTTTTATCCAGTCTGGTTAGTTAAATTTGTCCGAAAGATTTTTTAGCCACCTGTCAACTTTGGTTTATAAAATCAATAAGCTTAACGCCCCTAAGTATCTTGCCAAAAAAACTGGTCAAACGATCTGACATACATGAGAGACACACTCGTCAGTGTGACACACTTTCCATGCCCCGACATACCACGAGCCTCTTCCAATGATCTTTCAGATTCAACGCGGTTTCTGTTTTTAATTCCTTGCCTGATGACGTCAGAAAAGCTAACTCTCTAGAGATGTTAGGCAGGGAGTTGAGGGCTTTGGTGTTCGCCCAGAAAAATCGAGATCGAAGATAGTGTAGAAATTGGTTTAGAATAGTTTATTTTAGTATTTAGTATTAAATAAGTATCGGTAAAAACTCACCAATTGTTAGTATCGAGTTCCAAGGTGGTTGCATGAGCAGCTTAAGTTGGATACCGCCACCCCTTGTAAATGTTATGTTAGTTATTCTAAATAAAGGCATTTATTATTACTTATTATTATTAGTTGCAGTGCAGTTTAAATAAATAAAGAAAATTCAAAGAGTCACCTTAGGATAAATAAGGAAGCTAATCTTGGATAAAGTTGAAGCTATGTAGGTAATTACTCGTTTTCAGGAAAATCTCAGTCAACCATGATTTTCATGAAATGGCCTACATCTTTTCTTAACAAAAACCTCTTTTTAATACACCGAGCTGGTACTTTTAACACAAAATAATTGTAATTAGCTAAAAAAAAACTTGAGAACCAACATCGATCGAAACCTAATGGAAGTTCGAAACTAAGAATAACTCAGTGGAGCGGAGTTACAATAGGTAGGTATATTTTTAAAGAGCTCAATGAACTATTACGAGGGTTTGCAAACTTAATTCGAACAATACTGGCATAATGTCCGATATTGGTTACCAGCAATGCATAACGAAAACCGGAAACACGATTCTGCACAATGTATGAATCGACAAGCTGGTTTACTGCCAATAATAATAATAATTTTAAATCGCTTTCCAATAAAACCCAAACAAAAAAAATCGAATATTTATTAGTATCAGTAATTCAGAATGCATTCAGTCAGACAGAGAAATCAAGGAAGTACCTTCGATATTGTTCCATTTACTTTTTACAATAACATTAAACAAGCCAGAAACGAATTTAATGGGTTGCCAAAATGAATTCCACCATTGAAACTTGTCCCGATTTTGGTAAGCACATACCTAATGGACAGTAACGCCTACTGTCAACAACTTTCTTCCTTGGTCGCCAGATTTTTAAATTTATACAGAGTGTCCACTTAAGTTCGCAGCATATGGGAAACCTTTTCATTATCGATTTTACGAAAAAAAGTTATTTTTAGTAAAAGTTTCTGCTTCTTGAAAAAATAATATTAAACTATTAATTTCAGGCTGGTCAGAAAATAGAAAAATATATAGAGTGTCTCCTAAGTACGGTTCGTTACTTCAGGATGTGATTCCTTGATTCCTTACAATATTTTAGGAAAAAAAGTTTCCATAAGCATTTGTCCGGAAATGCGTAATTTCTGAGATACAGGGTTTCAAAGTTTTTAAAAAATCGGTTATACATACCTATTATAGTTAGGTACCTACATTTTAGCAGCTATTATAAATTTCTATAAACATGTATATCATCATTGGGAAATTAATGAACAAAAGCATCTAAAACTTGACTTTTTAAATTTTGATATAATTCCATATATCCTCTGACCATGCACCAAAAATAAAGCCTATACACTATAGATCTACTAAACGACAAAAAACCTTAGTCAACAATAAATCACTGACGCTAATTATTATATTGCCCAGGTTCATATTTGCAGGAATACTTGACACTGGATGGTAATGACCCAAATTGAGAACAAACACAAAAAGACAATGGATATAATTACTGTTATGCGGTTCTATTGTATTTTTGCATTAGTTTTTCTAATAATGGAAATGTTAGTTTCAGAAAAAAAATATTTACCTACCATCCTTTGTAGAGATTTAAAACTATTGGCCATATAAAAGTTATTTTTGAAAGAAATTAATTAATCATTAATTTGAAAGTTAAATAAATTCTCAACTCAATTAGCAGCCTTGATCAGTCTTTGGTGACAAATCTATATCTATATTAATTGATTTTATTTGTTATATCCATGTCTTTACATAATCATAATAAGAAAACAAACCTGTTGAAAATAAAACTCAAGGCCGGTTTATTTGACAATCAAACTTTGACTGATCATATGAAGAGAATGAAGCAAAATGTTTTTAATGAATCCATGCAAAATACGTCACCAATAAGTTATGTAAGTCTAGTTAGTAGAAAATCTTTTCATTCTACATTAATCATCTTACATAATTGTTATTCTTTTCTCATCTGATTCTTGATATTTATGATTATTGTAATTAGCATACAAATAACATGATGAGGTGTCAGATGTTTTTCCCCGCAGTTTGTGGTCGTATTGAATCTAGACACTGTGATGAATTTTAAATTTCCATTGTGTTTGTATGTTTATAATGAAGCGGTACTATAAATGAGAAAATCCTAATTTGCAGTTTCGTTCCAGCTTGAATTGAATAATACCTACTTTTGTTTTTTAGTTGAATTCAAGGAATCCCTTAACACTACGTTTTTTCGAATCAGGTTTGGGTTCAGATTTGGCTTCCGGTTATTAGTCTTGGTAGAACAAGATTTCTCATGGCCATTATTCTTCCAATATTGTTAACTTTACACGAAACAATGAAAACTCATCTTTGAAACCAATCTCTTAAGCTTACTGATAAAATGGAGAAGATAGACTAGGAAAAATACATTCTACATTACATTACATGTGCTGCCAGAACAGATTGGACAGCTATACTGGAGTAATTTGTTGAGTGCTGTGAAGTGAAAGTGATCCAACTTAAACTCTGAATGCTCAGAATTTGTAGCTTGAGACGTTATGCAGTTTTTTAGACTCCTTTGAACTTTCATAAGAAGAGAAAGGAAAACCTTGAATTTCTTCAATTTTTGTAGGAAGGTACCCTTGTGCAACGTGATTTTCCGAAAATGCCTTGTGAATTCTCTACTGCTAACAATAGATACAGGAAACCAACGGACAAGAATATTCACAAGCACTTTTGGAACCAGAACATCCTCATAAAAATACACTCTACATTACATTACGTGGGACAACCTTACCAGAGAACCTTCATATGCTGCCAGTTCTGGCAGCATATCTGTTCAGATTGGACAGCTATACTGGGGTAATTTATTGAGTGATATGAAGTGAAAGTGATCCAACCTAAACTCTGAATGCTTAGACTTTGTAGCTTGAGACGTTATGCAGTTTTTCGGACTCCTCTAAACTTTCATAAGAAGAGAAAGGAAAACCTTGAATTTCTTCGGAATTCTGTAAGTAGGTACCCTCGTACAAGGTCATTTTCTGAAAATGTCTTGTGAATTCTCTACTGCTAACTATAGATATAGGAAACCAACGGACAAGAATATTCACAAGCACTTTTGGAACCAGAACATCCTCATAAAAATACACTCTACATTACATTACGTGGGACAACCTTACCGGAGAACTTGCATATGCTGCCAGAACAGATTGGACAGCTATATACTGGAATAATTTGTTGAGTGATGTGAAGTGGAAGTGATCCAACCTAAACTCTGAATGCTCAGACTTTGTAGCTTGAGACGTTATGCAGTTTTTTAGACTCCTCCAAACTTTCATAAGAACAGAAAGGAGAACCTTGAATTTCTTCGATTTCTGTAGTTAGGTACCCTCGTGCAAGGTTATTTTCCTAAGATGCCTTGTGAATTCTCTACTGCCAACTATAGATACAGAAAACCAACAAACAAGAATATTCACAAGCACTTTTGGAACCAGAACATCCTCATAAAAATACACTCTACATTACATTACGTGGGACAACCTTACCGGAGAACTTGCATATGCTGCCAGAACAGATTGGACAGCTATATACTGGGGTAATTTGTTGAGTGATGTGAAGTGGAAGTGATCCAACTTAA